TTTGCTTTCTCCTTTCAGGGTAGTCCTTGTAAAATTCCCACCATCAATTTACTCATGCACCATCACCATAGTACTTTGTGTTCTTCCCTCCCCTGTTTTTAGTCCCTCCTCCTTTTCTCCCTCTCCCTCACAGAATGTCTCTGATTTATAGTTGCCTGTTAATTTTGGTTTTCTATTTATTGTTATTATTTTTCCTTATCCCTTAGTTGATTACCTTCCATTCCTCCTACAAGTGAAATTATCCAATTCTTTTATCTTCAGGTTTATTTCACTGGGCATAATCCCTTCTAGCTCCATCCACATTGCCACAAATGGCAAGAGTTTTTCTTTTTTGATTCTGAATAGCATTCCAACTTCTTGATCCAGTCATCTATTTTTGGGTATTTGGTTTGTTTCCATTTCCAACCTATGACAAATAGTGCTGCAATAAGCTTAGGAGTGCAGGTATCCTTTCAAATGAAAGAACATAGCTTCTTATGGGAGTACTGCTGGACACAGTGCCAAATCTGAAATCCAGGGTCTTAGACTATAATACTCATATTCTTTTGCCATTATATTATATCCATGTGTACCTAGTATTTAACCTATATTTTGTTGTTAAGTTAGAAGTTTAACTGCTATCTTTAACGTTGCGCAGGAAATGTTTTTTATTTTTTCCCCATGGAGATGTACTTTCAAATAATTCTATGAAGCTGGACCAATACCTCAAACCATGCACAAAAACCAACTCAAATGTATTAAAGAACTAGACATAAGGCCTGAAACCATAAAATATATAGAAGAAAATATAGGCAAAACACTACATGACATACACCTCAGTAACATCTTTAATGACATATCACCCAAAGCAAAGATAGTTGCAGAAGGATAAATAGCTAGGACTACATCAAATTAGAGAGTTTCTGTACAGCAAAAGAGACTTTAACCAAAGCAGAGAGACAGACCATTGATTGGGAGAAAATTTTTACACACACCACTAAGGATAAGGGACTGATCACAAAGATCCACAAAGAACTGATGAAATGCAACAAAAACAAAGTAAACAACCCAGTCAAAAAGTGGGGAAAAGGGCCCTCCCTGGTGGCGCAGTGGGTTAAAGCACAGCACTAAGAAGCTAAAGCCACTTCCGCATGAGTTCGATTCCCGCCTGCCCCGGAGGTGACCACATGGCGTGGCAGACCTCTCCTGACCCGCCCGCTGCTCCCCTCAGCAGTGTACTTCGTCGATCTGCCTGTTCTGCTCCCCACTCTGTCTCTGGTGAATCCTCTCACCCTCGGCATCTCTGGCCTGTATCCCAGTTCTGTATGCACAAATAAATAAATCTTTAAAAAAAAAAAAAAGTGGGGAAAAGAGCTAAAAAGACACTTCTTCGAGGAGGAAATGCAAATGGCCCACAGCCATATGAAAAAATGTCTAACATCACTCATAATCAGGGAGGTGCACATAAAAACCAAAGTGCAATACCATCTCACTCCAGTGAGAATGGCACAATTAAAACCACTAGCAGGTTTAGGATGCAGCACTGCAAGCAAGCCACAGCCACTTCAGTGAGAGTTCGATCCCCGGCCGCAGAGGTGATCCATGTGGCACAGTAGACCTCTCCTGTCGCACCCTCTGCTCCCCTCAGCAGTGTACTTGTTGATCTGCTTATTTGCTCCCCGCTCTGTCTCTGGTGAATCCTCTCACTGCCCCTGCACCTCTGGCCTGTACACCAGTTCTGTATGCATAAATAAATAAATCTTAAAAAAAAAAAAAAAGACTAGCAACAACGAATGTTGGTGAGGATGTGGAGGTAAAGGAATTCTCCTGCAGAATGCAAAAATGGTTCCACCATTATGCAAAGCTGTTTGGAGTTTCCTCAAACTGCCAAAAATAGATCTTCCAGGCCCTCCGACGTGGCACAATAGGTTAAAGCAGCAGCTGCTTCAGTGAGAGTTGGGTCCTGGCCCTGGACATAATCCACATGGTGCAGCAGACCTTTCCTGTGTTGCCCACTGCTCCTCTCAGCAGTATACTTTGTTCATCTGCCTGTTCTGCTCCGCACTCTGTCTCAAGTGAATCCTCTCACCACCCCTGCACCTCTGGCCTGTACCCCAGTTCTGTATGCATAAATAAATAGATCTTTTAAAAAAAAATGGATCTTCATGATCCAGCAATTACACTCCTAGGTATTTACCCAAAGGACACAAAAACATTAATTCAAAAGGATACCTGCACACCTGTTTATTGTAGCACTATTTACAATAGATAAGCTATGGAAATAACCCAGATGCCCAAAAATAGATGATCAATGGATCAAAACAATGAAGTGCTACTCTGCAATCAAAAAGGAGAAACTCATGCCATTCACAGCAACAAGGATAGAACTAGGAAGGATCATGCTCAGTGAAATAAGAAGTGAAAAGAAAAATGCCAGATGGTTTCACTCATAGGAGGAATGTAGAGGATCAAAATAAGGGATCAGGGGAAAAAAAGAGAAATTATAATGAAATAATTAGCAAAATTAAGAGACAACTATAAACCAGAGACATTCTGCAAGGGAGTAAGATGAAAATGGGTGGGAAGAGCACAAGGGACTATGGTGATAGTTCATGGGTGAACTGGTGGTGGAACTTCATTGGGGCTACACTTGAGAAGAGAAAGCACACATTGCACAAAAGTGAAAAATGATGTTAAAAATATAAATATAAAATAATAATTTTTTTCAAATTTTTAATACAAAAAACATGCAAATAAAAATCATCCTCAATTTAAAAAAAAATTCACTTAGAAACAAACTTTTGGAACCCATTCCATTTGTAAATTGGTGACAAAAGACTTGACCCTTTTTTAGGTTGAAATTAACTTATTTATCTTTTATAATAATTTTATTTGGGGATGCCGTCATCCAAATAAATAATTAGATTTTCCTTTTGTTCTTTTGGAATCAATACTTTTTTAAAACAATTTATTAAATAGTTTGGAATGCTAGACATAGTAATTGCCTACTAATGATGTCACCAATTGCCAATCATCTGCCTATGGCCCAGTAAACACAAATTATCTCTTTCCTACCCACATTATAATAATCACTTGTAAACTATAATAAGATACACTTACTTCTCAAAACTCAAGCTAAAATGATTAATTTTAATTTATATTAAAATTAATTTTAATTATATTAATTTTAATTATATATTCCTAACACAAAAATATAACTTATTGCCTTTTGGAAGATAGTTGTATGCTTGGATTAAGTTGTAGTGTCTTTTAGATTTGACTGCCCGCTTTCATCTGGCCCAGGACTGACT